TAACAAGATGAAGAGATATAGTCTCAGAAGCCGGCATACAAAGCTGTAAGATTTATTTGGGAAAGGCACCTGACCTATTCAAGATGTAGTACATAGTCTGCAAGAATACTGTCCTCTTCTCCAGGATTCCCCGATAATGATTTTATCATGGCCAACTACAGGCCAACTGCATTATCGGCCCCAAGGACCTCCGTACTAGCATCCACTTTAATTTTGATAGGTCGTGGTTGGCCATCTTTATCAACCATGGGAATGCCACACTGACCAAAACTGTTCTCCTTGATGGTATTCAGAATAGCACGAGCAATAGCATTAACTTAATTGACAGATGACTCAGAGATACTAACGCAGTTGTTATCACCCAAAACCTCAACGATAGCATTAATATGTAGGCAGATAAATGATAAGGGTTCGTCGGTATAGTCTTCCTCCGTGCAATCCAAGCTATTGCGGGTCCAGAGCCAATTGGGTCTTAAATCAGGAAAGTATGCTGGAGGAGGCGAAAATTGGGTTGTATTTGTATTAGAAGCATGGCTAATCGGTGTTATAGCAGCATTTCAGGCAACCGGTAGTACCTTTTAAGGGTATGGGCATTCGGGCTGGAGGTTAAAGAAAAGAAACCCAGTGTTTAAGGGGTAAACGTCCGGCGAAGACAGGCTTAAGGATAGGAGAATGGAAATGCGATAGCATGAATTGTCTGCCTTTCATGAGGAAACGTGGCTCTGGCCCTGCTATTGTTCTGATCGTTCGTCAGGTATTGTCATCCATTTCTAGTTTAGGTGCGGGGGCAAACTTCTGACCGATGGCGCAGAGCTCCCGTTAATGATTCCTGCGGGTCCTCGTCTTGTGGCATTGGGAACGAGAATGTTTTGGACAAGCACTGGCTAGGTTGCCCATACGGTAATGCAGGGTGTTGCGGATGAAGTGTTGTGGATATGTGCAAACCTCCAATGGCCGGAGAATACCGCATCGCTCGATGCTTGCAGACTAAAGCAAACGCAGGCACCCGAGTTGTCTGTTAGGCTCATGAAGGCAACCACCGGCCGGCGTGGATGGACTCCGGTCGCTTGAATCAGATCCTGACGGAAATGATCCGGGGACGCCCGTTCGATGATGAGCTGCTGCATCGGCGTGCGAAGAGAAGACGAGATGATGGACCCTCGTCCTCGTCTTCACCCTCATAGGAAGTGTCGTGTCAATTTAGGATTTCCATGTTTTTCCTCTATACTAGGCGCGCGGCCCGTGCATGGACCCAGGTGACATGTATGCTGAATAGGCTGCTTTTTCTATCGCGTCCACAGCGATTTGGTGCACCGCATCATTTCAGATCGTCGCGCGGAGTTACTTCATTCTGCATATGTAAGTCAAACCATTCCTACGACTAAATCAGATGCGTCCTTTAACTCCCAGAATTCGGTATCTCCAGTAGGTGAATGCAGGCGAACAAGATAGTATGATATAGTAGTAGCGAAGAGTGCCGTCTTAGGTGCAGCACCTTTCATGTCCACAATTGGCAGCCAACTGCCAGTCTCCTCTAGTATTGCATACATAAATAGAACAGCCGTTATTGCCGCAAATATAGCCTCCGAGGCCACATGACGCGCCCGATTTAGGCGCAAAGATCGCGAGGACAGCTGATCCACTACCTTTTCAGGCCTTCAGGCCTGTTTCTTGCATTTTGGTATCGTTTGCACCCGTGCGTGCTTGACGAATA